TGCTTAACAGAGGCAGAGAGGGACACGTCTGCTGCTCAGGTGATCTGCTAGGACATCTCGCAATAGTCCCATGCCCAGCTGGAACTATCATGGCCAACTCCAAGAACCATAGCCTGATAGAGTCTAGGACGCCCACTACGACTGTCACCAGCGGAAGTGCCAGATGGGGAGAGGGGTGTCTAGAATGAGTAGGAGGGAGAGAATGATGACATGGTACAGCCAAGGACCAAGTGCAGCAGCCGGCGGCAGCCACGGATTTAGTTAAGTAGGTTCTTGCCGTGTTCCCTGGTGCAAGTGTCTCCCTTGTCGAGACCCACCGAGGCTAATGTTGGAGACATGGGGAGAAGCAAATTTCCCCATGTGGATAACTGGAGTCATCATGGGCAAGGTCACAACTCATTTGACTTCCTGTCTCCCAGATTCATGTACTCTGCCTCCTGGTAGCATGGCACCATAAAACAGCCATTGGTTCCGCTGTATACTGCATCCTGAGTACACACCCCATCCCCACAGTGCCACGTCCAAACTGCTGCCCCAGCTCACTTTCAAGAGCCTGTCCCACTACTCTATCAGGCTGCCAGCTTCTGAATGGGGTGGTAAGACAGTGTCCTGCTGGGCGTGGTGGCTCACAACTGTAATCCCAGCACTTTGAGAGACTGGGGCAGGTGGATCATGAGGTCAGGAGTTCGAGACCAGCCTGGTCAACATGGTGAAACCCCATTTCTACTAAAGGTAGAAAAAATTAGCCGGGCATGGTGGCAGGTGCCTGTAGTCTGAGGCTGTAGGGGAGACTGAGGCAGGCGAATCGCTTGAACTCAGGAGGTGGAGGTTGCAGTGAGCCGAGATCATGCCAATGCACTCCAGCCTCCTGGGCAACAGTGTGAGATTTCATCTAAAAAAAAAAAAAGTATCCTGTGATCACATGTCCACGGCTGATCCTCTTTTGCCACACTGAGTCCCCTGATCAAAGTAATGTTATATGGCCAGGCACAGTGGCTCACCCCTGTAATCCCAGACTTTTGGGAGGTCAAGGTGGGTGGATCACCGGAGGTCTGGAGTTCAAGACCAGCCTGGCCAGCCTGGTGAAACCTTGTCTCCTCTACTAAAAATAAAAAAATTAGCTAGGTGTGATGGTGTGAGCCTGTAATTCCAGCTACTTGGGAGGCTGAGGCAGAAGAATTGCTTGAACCCAGTAGGTGGAGGTTGCAGTGAGCCGTGATCACACCATTGCACTCCAGCCTGGGCGACAACAGTGAAACTCCATCTCAAAAAAAAAAAAAGCAATGTTAAATGGTTGATCACACACTGTACTTTCCAGCCTGAAGGGGTCAGATTTTATCAACTCAAGGGACGCTACCAAGCTGGTGGCTCAGCTCTGTTGGCACGTTGGACGTTTAACAGTGGTAGCCGCTAGAGCAGGCTTGAAGACAAGGAGCCCTCCCGCTGCGGCCACGCACGGGTCCGATTCTGCTCCCCAGGCTTCTCCGTTTACCAGCCCCTGGTACAGGCACTAGGGTGCCTAACAGGAAGTGGACTGACGCCTTCCACTACGCATCTGCTGTGGTGGGCATTAAAGCACAATTCAAAGACTCTCACCTTCTGAGTTCGCGCCCACAGGCCTGCGTGCCCCTTCTCCAGTCAGACCATGTCATTCGATCCTAGTTATTGTTCTGGAAGGGTTCGGGCGGGGGTGAGGGGTGGGGACAAATCTTGACAGGGGCAAACATGGCCTCGTAGGCCTCATCGGAAGCTTCTGCATAGTCTCAGGGAACAGTCTTCTGTTCTTCCCTCCCCGCCAGGCCCCAGCCCTGCTGGCATGAGGAATCCCAGCTCTTCGTCCTCACACCAGGAGACCAGCAGGCCCCCAGAGCAGTTACATACTGGAAGGAGAAATGGGTCTTGGTTGTCATGAGGAGGGGCTCCTCAAGGGACGGTACCCAAGGGAGACACTTCCACTGGGACCACAGCAGGAATCCTACCGCACTAGAAGGGCGGCGGCTGCGTGCTGCTGCCGCTTCCTAGTACAGCAAGGCGGAGCAGGCCACTGCTGCCAGCCCAGGAGGTCACGGGCATATTCCCAGACACCCTCATTCCCAGTTTCTGCGTCCCTTATCTTCCTTCTGAGGGTCTGACTTTACTCATCTACTGGCACTAGGAGCCCAAAAGTGACCAGAGGGCAGACTTGCCTGGGCTGAGGATTCTTTCTTCTCTCAAATTCTGCCACTTTCACTGGCCCAGCCTGCCTCTGCAGGAGATGAGAGGCTAAATGTTGGCAGGGAGGCCCCCGATTCTGATCCTGTGCTTTAAGTTGGTAATTAGTCTGAGTCCGTTGCTTTCTCTCTTCAATGGACCAATGGGAGGCTCTTAGCAACAGCCTCCCAATCTACCTTCCTGATAGATAATAGTTTCCTCAAACCTCTCGTTACTGGTGTGAAGCGGAGCATTGAGAGTCCTGGTGCCCGGCCTGCTGGAGCCCTTCAGTTGCTCAGACCTTCCCCTGTGGTGACCTCGGACTCTCAGCACTCCACTTACCACCAGTAGGGAGGTCCTCACGGCCGTTTGGCCGGCAGGGAGTCAACACCAGAATCCCATCCATTCTAGGACCCCTCCTGGTGCTAACAGTCTTCAGTCAGGTTCCCCAGAAGCAGCCTTTGCAAATGTGTTATTGAGAAAGGGCTTTCAGATGAAGCCTGGAGACAGTGAGGGCTGAAGCCGGGGCAGGGAGGAAGCCAGGCACAGACGTGGGCGTGGCGGAAGTCTGGCATCAGCCCGAGCCTCTGGGCAGCGCTGGAGCATGGACGACACCACAGGTCACCATCCCACGAAAGGACTGGCCTCCGTACCCTGAGTCAGTAAGCCACGGTGGGCCGTAAGCCTCCCTGGGAATGAGGACGTCTGGGTAGATGCCCTTGACCTCCCGGGCTGACAGCAGCGGCCTACTCCGCCTTGACCTCATGCATGACCTCACGGGCATTTCCTGGCTGGACGGCCCTGGTTAGGTGAGGGCAGCTGTCTGAAGGGCACAACTGTGAGCCGTTGTCAGCTAACCTCTAACCTCTCAAATGTGTAGACACTGAGGTTAGCTGTCAGCAGCAGACATGTGGGCAACAGCCCAGGAGGAGGATCTGGGCAGGCTGCCAATACTCTCTACCCTAATTTCATGTGTGGTTTGTTTTAAAAACTTTTTTAGAAGACTTAATTTAATTAATTTGTTTATTTGAGAAGGAGTTTCTCTCTTATTGCCCAGGCTGGAGTGCAATGGTGCGATCTCGGCTCACTGCAACCTCTGCCTCCCAGAGGTTCAAGCAATTCTCCTCCCTTAGCCTCCCAAGTAGCTGGGATTACAGGTGCCTACCACCACACCTGGCTAATTTTTTTTTTTTTTCTTTTTGAGACGGAGTCTTGCTCTTTCACCAGGCTGGAGTGTAGTAGTGTGAACTCGGCTCACTGCAACCTTAGACTCCCTGGTTCAAGCGATTCTCCTGCCTTAGCCTCCCAAGTAGCTGGTATTACAGGCACGCACCACCATGCCCAGCTAATTTTTGTATTTTTAGCAGAGATGAGGTGTCACCATGTTGACCAGGATGGTCTCGAACTCCTGACCTCAAATGATCCACCCACCTCAGGCTTCCAAAGTGCTGGGATTACAGGCATGAGCCACCATGCCTGACCGTGTTTTTAGTAGATAGGGTTTCACCATGTTGGCCAGGCTGGTCTTCAACTCCTGACCTCAGGTGATCCGTCTGCCTCAGCCTCCCAGAGTGCTGTGATTACAGGCATGAGCCACCGCGCCCAGCTGACTTTATTTTTTTAGAGCAGTTTTAGGTTCAAAGGGAAACTGAGAGGAAGGTACAAAGATTTCCCACACATCCCCTGTGCTCACACGTGCACGGCCTCCCCCACTATCCACGTCCAGAGAAGCACATTTGTTACAATGGATAAACCTACCCTGAAGATACCACATTCACCCACAGTCTGGAGCTCACGTCATGGTTCATGCTTGGTGTTGTGCATTCCTTGGGTTTGGACACATTTATAAGCACATGCGCAGCAGTCCCCCTTTATCCTGGGGGGCTACCTTCCAGGATCCCCAGCGGGTGCCTGAAACCGCAGTGATTACCGAACTGAACTGCCCTCAGCGGGAACGTGTTTCTATTCGTCTTCCACCCACACCGATGTAACTCCTTTCTCATCTTGGTACTGCTGCCGTAACTCTGGCAGTTTGAGATGCGACAGCAAAACCTGTAAAAATTTCTTTCTCCTTCTTCACAATGTCATGGGTAGACGATTCCTTTTTATTGTAGATCTCAGCAACCTCAGCATTTGATTTTTTTTTCTTTCTTGTAAAGCCAAGAACTTTCACCTTTTCACTTAAAGGAAGCATCTGGCGGCTTCTCTTTGGCATATCTGAATCTCCAGCATGACTACTATGCTTTGGGGGCCATTATTAAGTAAGATAAGCGTAACGTGAACACAAGCACTGTTGTTACCCTAAGACAGTCCATTTAATCACCAAGACGGCTACAAGTGACTAAGGCTGGCAGGGTGGGGAGCACAGACGGCGGGAACACGCTGCACACAGGGATAATTCGTGTCCCAAGCAAGACACAGCGGAAGGCCCGAGACTTCGTCCCTCTGCTCGGGATGGCGCATCATTTAAAACTCCCTGACTGTTTATTTCTGTAATTTTCCATTTGCTATTTGGACAGCAGTCGCCTAAGAGTAACTGAAACCTGGAAAGCGAAACCGTGGGTAAGGGGCTGCTCCCAGACTTCTCCGTGTGAGACATTTGCCCGTCATGTTAATTCTGGCCCAATTAGTTCTACACAAATGAATGGCAGGAAATCGATTTTACACCACATAGTGGTAAAATGCTTTCTTTTTTCTCCCTCATTTAACTAAAGAAGGGCTGGGCCCTAGGTGATGTCTTCCTTGGCATCTAAGCAGCAGGCATCACCCCACTGCTTCTGTGCTCCACTCTCCCACGGGACCCTCCTTACCTTTAACCCCTCCTGTGCTGGAGGCTGGGTCTTCCTTGCTGGTGGCAGCCCTTTCCATATCTTCAATCCATGGTCCGCAGCCCACTCCTCCACTGCCTTTCCTTTAGAGAAATCAACATGAACACTGAGTCACTGGAAGGAATGACACACACATCCCTCCCCTACCAGTCGGAGTAGCGCTGGCTCACCTAGCACATCTCCAGTCTGGGTCTCGAGGACCGCTGCTCCTCCCTTACCTGTAGTGGAAGACCTGCCTCAGCTCGGCAGGTGATATGCAGTAAGGAAATGTCCAAAGGACACTCCTTGTTGGATTACACAGCACACATCTAATTGGCTAGAAATCTTAAAGGGCAAGAGGTGAGGAGGAAGAATCCCCTTTGTCTTCTGAAAAATGTCTTCACTGGCTCACTACAGCTCCTTCCTTCCTCTTTACTGACCCGAAATGTCAACTATTATAGAACTCTTTTAGGTTGGATGAATCCAGAGAGTAAACACCTACTAAGCACTGGAGGTCCAAGAGGAATAAGACATGCCTGAGTCAAACCTCGTCTCCCCCGGCCTTGCTTGTAGAGTGCTTTGCTGGCCTCATCCGATTGTTCTATGAGTTCTTTCATTTGTTTGCTCACTAAACATTTACTGAGCACCTACACAAGTGCCAGGCTCTGGTAGATGAGGCCTGAGGGAAGCTAAAACTAATAAGACAGCCTCCATGCCCTAGAGGAATTCATGGTCTAGAGGGAGGAAATGTAAACACATCATAAAATTATAGCATATTAAACACTGCAGTAGAGTACTACATAAGTGTGGGGGCAGAGAGGAGGGGGAGAAACGGCTGTTTTCTGGAGCCCTCACCTTTTGGGGTTAGGGTCTAGGAGGTTTCCACAGAGGAGCGGGCCAAATAAGCTTTAGAAAAACTAAGCAGACTCCTGTACCAGAACTGGATCACAGTCGAAGACATTTTCAGTAACCATACGTTGAGGACTCACTGAGTGCTTTGGACAGGAAAAGGAATTACCGACGCAGATTGTTTGTAAGTTGTAGGAATAGATGGGGCAACGAGCACCAGTGAGGACTTAACCCTGAAAGAAGTGTGAGCACATCCTCCTCCCAGACAAGGGGGAATAAAGAAAGGAAGATGATCGGAAGGGCTCTGAGCGGAGTGGAGGAAGCCCGGGGAGTTAATACCAGAGGGTAGGTGCACCTGCTCAGCCAAGTAGCAGGCAGGGCAGCCTTGTGAAAATAGGAACGGAATAGAAAGCTCAAGAAAACAGCCGAAAGCGAGGCAATTAGGGGAGGTTTCGAACTGGCAGGTCTACCTCAACTGGCAACACAGCAAGCAAGCACCAGAAAAGATATCCTAGCTAGCAGTGGGGTTTGAAACTGATTTAATATCCTAGGCTAGCAGTGAGGTTGGGAACTGATTTATTATTTTATTTTTTATATTTATTTATGTACTTATGCACTTATTTATTTCTGAGATAGGCTCTGGCTCTGCCACCCAGGCTAGAGTGCAGTGTTGTGATCTAGGCTCACTGCAGCTTCGACCTCCTGGGTTCAAGTGATCCTCCCACCTCAGCCTCCCGAGTAGCTGGGACTGCAAGCGCACTACCACACTAGGCTAATTTTTGTATTTTTTTGTTAGAGGCAGGGTTTCACCATGTTACCCAGGCTGGTCTCAAACTCCTGGACTCAAGCGATCCATCTGCCTCAGCATCCCAAAGGGCTGGGATTACAGGCATGAGCCACTGCACCTGGCCAATATTTTTTAAAAATTGGAAATTCTTCGTAATAAGCCAAGTGTTAGGGGGACAAAAAAAAAAAAAGAAAAGCAATAAAAGCAATGACATGGACTCAATATGAAACAGCCGAAGCATTTGACATGTCTCTAAAATAAAAAATCAGTACTCACCCAGTGCCCATTTCAAACTGTAGATTTCCTTGGTCTAAGATTTAAAAACAAAAACCAAAAAACAACACTCTCAAATTTAAGCTAATTTGAATTAGCTTTACATATTGATTTTTAAATACATACATGTGCACAGAGAGAATACTATAAAGATCTATAAAGGTGTGTAGGTCTTGATCTTATTTTCCCAGGAGTTCAGAAAACTGCTGCAGCCCCTGGCTCACATCCTGGCATCCTCCCCTCCTCTCTATCCGTCCTGTTGAGTTTCCCGCGTGCATAGATTCTGGGTCCAACCAAGTTCCTACAGTTCGCTCCATTAATACTGCATCAGTAAATAAACAGTATGCCCATCAAATGCTGATTTTTTCCATGTGAGCCCAAATTATGTGACTTGATGAGGGAAAAAGTCATGAGTCCCGGGGATGGCGATAAGAATCACATTCTTTACTCAAGTGTTGTCCCAGGTACGAGAATAACACCAGATCTCCATCTCCAGGCACCCTGCACCACCTCCCACAGCATAAAGGCCAAATTCCTCGGCCTGATATTTGAGGCGTACCTATCCACCTCAATTTCCTTCCACCCCATCCCTGACTCTCTCAAGCTGGGCTCCAGATCATCACTGACTGTACTCACTTTGAGGCAGCTCTGTGGCTTTCAAGGTTCCTGGGCCCACCTTTTACTATTGATGTGACTGGCACGTGTTGCGCAGTTCCTAGGATGGGATGGTGGCCTTCATTTCTGCCAGGACTGGGGCTTTGCCTTGTATTTCTCACCCACCGCACTGCCTGCTCCTGCATTCTTCTGGGTGGGGCCTGATCTTTCCTGGCAGTCTCTCTACACCTCCCGATCACAGGTAGTGATGCCACAGCTGAGGAGCTTGTCCCAAACCTCAGCGCCTGCCTCCCTCTTTGGCTTCTCCTGCTTCTGTGTCTCAACCATCAGCGACACTCTTTTCTTCCCTGCCCAAGCCCTAGCTGACTCCATAACACCTGGGTACGATGTCCTCTTCTGCCGGGTTATCTCAAGAGGCCCTCTCTCCACATCCCTCGTTGGCTCACAGTGTCCTTCCTCTCACCCATGGCCCTGAGGTCCCTGTATATTGCCCAGTGTATAGGGTTATTATGCTTAACAATCCCCAAAGGTTGAAAGGTGTTGTAGGGTGGTGTAAAAATGAATCTAGGTGATAATGCTTATATGTCAGAGATTTGTAATGTGTTCAGCAGGCATGAGGTATGACAGTCCTGATATTTCTGATCTTGGAACCCTGGACACCACCTTCTCAACAATGCTTGGATATCTTTGAGTCTGCATTCTGCCCCTGGTCCAGCCCAGGGCCCTGGTTCCTGCTCACTCACCATCCACTGTGGGCCCTCTCTGAATTCTTAGAATCCTTGCCATTTGCATCACTCACAGAGGCATTTCATCAGACCCTGCTTGGTGCACCAGGCTCAGGAGACTCAGTTCTGCTGCTGACAAATTATGTGAAATTGACCCTGTGATTGTACATCTGCAAAAGGAAGGGGCTGGGACAACTCCTCTGGGCCTTTATACTACATGCTGGGGCATGGTTTTGCTTCTTATCTAGATTTTGCAATCCTGTCACAAGTAGAGAGCACAGTGCAATCTTAAGAAGGGCTTGAGAAATCTGTTTCTGAGCTGTCAACTGAATAAATGTCATAACAAACTTGTCTTTCTCTGCAAGGCAGGGAAGGCGGCAGGGAGTCAGTTAAAATTTAAATTTTAGATAAAGCTTAATAATATTGAGAAGTCAATTCTCACCAAATTGGTCTATAGATTTTACAAAATCCTAATCAAAATCCCAATAAGCTTTTTTGAGAAGTTGGCAAGCAGATTCTAAAATATGTGTGGAAGTATAAAGACACTGAATAATCAAATAACTTTAAAAAGGAGGAACAAAATTAGAGTACTCAAACTACCTCATTTTAAGACTTATTAGAAAGCAGCAATAACCAACATAGTGAGGTAATGATGGCAAGGTAGACAAATAGATCAGTGGAAAGGAATCAGGCATCCAGAAATAGATACACTTACATAAATAATCAGTAGGAGAAAGAATAGTGTTTTTAGCAATTGGCAATGGAAAAACTAGAACATCAATATGCAATGAACCGAAGTCTGATCCATACCTCACACCATATACAAACCAAAAAAAGGAAACAAACAAACAAACCCAAAATGGATCAGAGACCTAAATGTAAAACTATAAAACTTCTAGAAGAAAACAGAGGGAGAAAATCTTTGTGGCGTTTGGATAATGATTTCTTAGGCAGGACACCAAAAGCATAATTCATACAAATTTTTAAAATTAAATATTATAAGAATTAGTCTTTTGCTCTTCAAAAGTTACTCTTTTGGAATAAGAGGAATAGGAGAAAAAGATATGCCACATACTAAAAGAAAATATTTAATACTATAATAATTAAAATATTATAAGAATTAGACTTTTGCTCTTCAAAAGTTACTCTTTTGGAAAGAGAGAAAAGGAGAAAAAGACATGCCACACACTAAAAGAAAATATTTACAAAGCATTAAAAGGACACGTATCTAGGATATACATAAAAACTCTCAAAACTCAATAATAAGAAAACAATGAGCAAAAGGTATGAACAGACCCTTCACCAAAGAAGATATAAAGATGACAAAGAAGCACATAAAGTGAGTTCAACCATTAGTTACTAGGGAAAGGCAAATTAAACCCTTAATGACATACCACTATGTCCCTATTAGAAGTCTGAAAATGTAAAAGACTGACAATATCAAGTATTGGTGAGGATATGGCACAAGAGGAACTCTCACACTATGGAAATGGAGGATGGTATAATCACTTTGGAAAGTAGTTAGCAATTTCCTAAAAAATTAAATGTACATCTAACATATGGCCTAACCATTACACTCTTAGGTATTTATCCAAGAGAAATGAAAACACACGTTCACACAAAGACTTGTACTTGCATGTTCATAGCAGCATTATTCAAAATAGCCCCAAAGCAGAAACAAATTGGATGTTCGTTAACAAGTAAATGGATAAAGAAAATGGGGTCTAGCCAAACAGTGAAATACTACTGAACTGCTACTCAGCAACAACAAAAGTATGTACTATTGTTTACAAAATGCAACATAGACGAATCTCAGAATAATTATGCTGAGGAGAGAAGCCAGACCAAAAAAAAGTATATACTTTATCGTGTCATACAAAATTCTAGAAAATGCAAACTAACCTATAGTGATAGAAAGGAGATTGATGGCCGGGCGCGGTGGCTCAAGCCTGTAATCCCAGCACTTTGGGAGGCCGAGGCAGGTGGATCACGAGGTCAAGAGATCGAGACCATCCTGGTCAACATGGTGAAACCCCGTCTCTACTAAAAATACAAAAAATGAGCTGGGCGTGGTGGCGTGTGCCTGTAATCCCAGCTACTCAGGAGGCTGAGGCAGGAGAATTGCCTGAACCCAGGAGGCGGAGGTTGCAGTGAGCCGAGATCGTGTCATTGCACTCCAGCCTGGGTAACAAGAGCGAAACTCCGTCCCAAAAAAAAAAAGACGCAAGGCAGCTCTACCACCAAAAGATCCCGTTAGCCGGGCGCGGTGGCTCAAGCCTGTAATCCCAGCACTTTGGGAGGCCGAGGCGGGTGGATCACGAGGTCAAGAGATCGAGACCATCCTGGTCAACATGGTGAAACCCCGTCTCTACTAAAAATACAAAAAATTAGCTGGGCATGGTGGCACGTGCCTGTAATCCCAGCTACTCAGGAGGC